TGGAACCCGCGCGCCGGCTCGGCGGCGGCCGCCGCGGCGCTCTGGCGAACTCTGGTTGGGGAGCGCGGAGCGCGCGGACCACGTTCGGCCCTCCACCGGCCGCCCCTTGCGTGCGGGGCGGGGGGGACGGGGGGTGTGGACGTCGGTGACGTCTCGTGGAGGAGCCCTTCCTGTCATGTGGCTGCGGGCGGGCAGGGAGGAAGGCAGGGCTGGGAGGGGAAGGAGGAAACGTGAGGGCGCCCCGGGGGCGATAAAACGCGAGGGGTGCGCGAGCAGCGTGCGAAGGGGGACTTGGGCCCAGGAGTGGTATCCTAGTGAGGGAGGAGAAGCAGATGGGCGGCCTTAAGGTGTCAGAACCACCCAGATTCCGCACCAAGAAAGAGAAAAACTCCAAGCCCTGGGGCTGGAGGGAATCAAAGGTATCTTTGCATCTATGTACCGACTTGGACCCAGTACAGAATTGCGCGGCCCATCTGGACTGTTGTCATCCTGGAGCAGTACCGCAGGCCCACACTGTAGAATGAACTGGCAGAGTCAGGAGCCCGGTTGAACAGACAGGGGAGAGCCAAGGCTGGCCCTAGCTTGAAGCATGGGGCGCCACTGGGCAACCGAGAAGAGGGGCTGCTTCCCACTCCCTCAAAGACTTTACCGCCCAGCTCTGTATTTTCCTTAACCCTCCAGGCTGCCTTGGGGCGGGATGCGGCAGTGTTTGTCTTTGAAAAATACTCCAAAACAGATTGCCCACTTATTCCTTTAGTAGGGCTGTATCCACTCTGGTGGCAATTACCTTCCCTGAAAATACAGACTATAAAAGAAAATGAAGTCCAGAAAAGCATGAGGAGAAAAGTTATGTTCTAGAGAAGAAAGAAAGAAAGCTGTCAGGAGAGGTGTGATAAGCATAAAGAAAACATTTTGCAACAACTGTGTTATTCCTTTTCTGGACTTGATAATGTGTGTGTGTGTGTGTGTGTGTGTGAGAGAGAGAGAGAGAGAGAAGAAATGAGTGGTCAGAAACTCCTTATGGATAATTCCTTTGAGTACTTTTATTAAAAGCTGTAGGGTTTTTAAAGAGTCTGTTAATGCTCTTGCATGAGAACTGTATTCTTTTTCTGTGCTAATTATTTTCCCATATGATAAACATGCATCTTTTCTAATTAAAGCTCAGCGATGTGCCCTAGGTCTCTTCCTCTCTCTCTCTCAATCTCTCTGAAAAGAACTACTTAGGTTCTGTCAGGCTGAATAAGGGAAAGTAATTTAGACATAACAGACTGTCACATAGAGCGTGTATCAAGGCAAGGCCAAGAAGAAGACACACTGATTTCTTCCACTATTTGATCTGAGTTTCTTGGTTTAGATATGTTGCTACTTGATACTGTGTTACAGAACAGTCAGGGAATAGTCCCTAAGCTAAAATGTGTGTAACGTTTTCTAGGTATAATATTTAAAAAAAAAATTTTAATTGAAACATGCTCTTTTTTTTTAAAGCAAAGTACTATATACAAAATTCTTCTTCTCTAAACTCCACTTCTCAAAGACAATCACTGTAACCGCGTTTGTGTGCATACCTTGGACATTTTCAATGAAAATCAAATGATAATTTTGACTGAGGGTTACATACTATGAAGCTATATGGAACGCAATAGATTTGAGTAACCCACAATTTTGTTTTGTTTGAGGTAGTTTAGCTATAGTCATTCAACAAATATCTACGGTGACTCTAAATCAGAAATTAGAGAGCTAGGAACTATGAAAGATTGGTTAATCTCTGTTACTACCAAAGCAGAGAGGCAAGGCCAATCCACCTACTTGCTCCTAATCATCCTGCAAATCTCTCAGGGTTCACCACTTAAATTCTATAGCCCTTGGGTATACAGGCATGTAACAGACTGTATCTCTGACATGGAAACTAGTTATTCTGAATCCAGTGAGAGAGGTAAATCCAAAATTCATCTTTAATGACCAGGTTACACTTACACACACACATACACGCAGGCCAAAAAAGAAAGTACAAATTCTCCTTTTTCTTCTTTCTTTCTTCCTGCCTCCCCCACCCCGCCCCTTTCTGACTGATACAGGAATAAAACCCCAGACCTTGATGTTATCAGCACCAAGCTCTAACCAACTGGCCAGCCCAAGTTCTCCTTTTTCTCTCTCCATGTTAAGTTTTGGTGTAAAGCTTAGTATGAAAGGGAACAAGTACCAAGTAGTCCTGCTAAAAGCATACATATTTTTAAATAACTGGATAAATAAAGAGGCAATGAACATATCTTTGTAGATTATTTTCCCTAAAAAATTTAGCAATCAGGCCGGCCCGGTGGTGCACTGGATAAGTGCGCCGCTTGGGAAGCGTGGCGGCGCTCCCGCCCGAGGGTTCGGATCCCACATACAGACCAGTTCCCGCTCACTGGCTGAGCGAGGCGCGGGAGCGACACCGAGGGTTGCAATCCCGTTGCTGGTCCCCGGTCCGGTGCCGGGGCAACACTGAGGGTTGCGATCCGTTGCCGGACACGGAAAAAGACAAAAGACATAAAAAAAAAATTTAGCAATCAAAAAATGGTTGTCAGGAAGTATTATGTCAGATAAGTTGAAGAGAGAGACCCTTAAGACAGAGATACCAGTTACAAGAATGGTGACAGGTAGGCATGAGGTGGTGAGGGTTATCAATGGCAGAGGAAAGAAAGGGTGACTATGAAAAATGATGCAAAAATGGGCTGAATATGCAACTTAGTGGATGTGGGGAACAAAGGAGAGAAAGAAAAGACCTGTTTTAGTTTGAATGACAGAAAGTAGCAATACTGTTAAGAGAAATAGAGAAGTTGGATTATTGAGTGAGAAGTGATAAGTTTGGATTTAAAGATATAAAGTTTGAGTTGCTGATGAGCTATCCTGGTGGAAGCACCCAAGTAGAATCTTCAAGTGCAGGTTAGAAAGGAATAGAAATGTGGGAACCAACTTTAAAACAGATTAAAACTGAAATTTTCAAATTTTCCCTTAGTGATGGAAGAAAGAAAGGACCCAGAGGTAATAATAGAACTGCTAGGAAGAAACAAAACTAAAGGGAAAAAAAATTTTAAGAAAGAGTAAAGTTTACAGTCTGGTTTGATCATAGGCAACCTCAGGCTTCAGTGTCTCCACAATTATCTTAAAGAAGTTAGAAATGTCACAAGACATTTTATCATTTCTGACCTTTCATGATCGTGGTGATACCCAGAAAGCTGCCTTAAAGGGCTGATCATTGTCATTTATTCGTATATAATATTGAAGGGTTACAGAAAAAAATTTCTGTGGTTGTTTAAGATATTCCAGTGTAGTATTACCCCCAAATATCCACTTTTATTCATGATTATATATACTAATGTCAACTGGAAACCATGTTTGATTTTATACTTTTCTCATACATAGGAAGAAAATGACAATTAAAAAAGAGGGTCAAAACCACTTGAAAGTAGGGCCAGCCTGTGGCTCACTCGGGAGAGTGTGGTGCTGATAACACCAAAGCCAAGGGTTCGGATCCCTATATAGGGATGGCCATTTAGCTCACTTGGGAGAGGTGGTGCTGACAACACCAACTCAAGGGTTAAGATCCCCTTACCAGTCATCTTTAAAACAAAACAAACAAACAAAAAAACCCACTTGAAAGTAATGTCCATTCCTTTTTGGTACATATTTGTTGTTAACACAAATTTAGAGGAAACATTAACCTCTCCTTCTAAATAAAATATGTGTCCCAGTTCAAGAATCCCAGATTTAAGAATACTTGGTACCTTTTTGCCATTTGGTTTCACACCACAAAATTCCTTTCTCTTTGGGCACTGAGGTTGCATGGGGAATAGATCCCCTTCCTTCCCAGAATTATTTTTTGCAGTGAGAAGCAAGAATATAAGCTA